TAAAAGTGCCATACAAGTTCCAGTTGTTATTATTATTATTATTATATGGAAATATTATTGACTTTTGTAGGATTATTTTAGATCCTGATATTTTACTAAAGTTATTGTCTCAATTATGTTTTTGTTGATTCCCTAAGATTTCCATAAGAGAAAAAGCATCATTCTATCAGCAAATAAGAATAGTTATTCTTTTCTCCTTTGCTTTTTCATACTTGTCTTTACTTTTTTTCTCTTATTTTGTTGCTACTGATCACATTTCTAGAACTATATGAAATAATAGCCAGGAAAGAATAATACTTTACAGAGCTAGTCAAAATAATGACAAAATCAATTTGGAGGGAAAAAAAGCTTTGTAATATTAAGGGAAATATTTTAAATGGTGGTAGGTAAAAGAAAATAGCACTTAGAGACCTCAAATTATATTGTGAATCAGTAACCATCAAAATAATTTGATAGTAATGTAAAAATAGGAAAGCAGATCAGTGGACCAGCATGCCCATGGAAGAATCAGAAGCAATAGATTTTGATAACTCAGTTTGATAAACCTGAAAACATAACTTACCTAGAATTTTGTATTTAATAAGAATTATTGGGAAAACAGGAAAACAGTCTAGCAGAAATTAAGTTCAGACCAACACCGTATACCATATAGAACAGTAAACTCAAAAATAGATCTATAACCTGAATGTTGGAGTTCATGCCATAAAAAAAAATTTTGAAGAGGGCAAGGTCACATATATTTCACAGCTATAGCTAGGGGGTAAAACAAGATGAGAAATAAAGGTGATTGAAAAAGATAAAAAATATATAAATTTGATTATATAAAATTAAAAAGTTTTTATATAAATGAAATAAGTAAATGCAACTACAAGACAGAAAGTGATTGAGGAAAATATTTGTAAAATGTCTCTGATAAGCCTGATATTGAAAACATCTAAGCAATTAACAAATATGCAAGATCAAAAATAATCTCACAATAGGTAGTCAAAAGATATGAACAAACAATTCTCAAAAGATTTGCAAACCATTAACAACCTCATGAAACACTGGAAAGACAGTATGAAATAGTTTTTAGAGTACTAGCCTCAGTGCCAGGAAGACCTGAGTCCCGCTTCTGATGTATCCTGCCTATGTGAAACTAGGTGTTATTTAACCTCTCAGCAGCACCAGGAAACTCTAAAGCTAAAATATTGCAGAGGTGACCAGCATTAGTAGAGAGTGTTTTCCTGTTGGGGCATTCCCTCCACCAAAGAAATCACAGATCCAGCCCCTTATCTCTATGAAAAACTGTTTGAAATCACTAATAACTAGAGGAAATATACATCAACAAAATTCTAAGATTTAATTTTATATCTAGCAAATTATCAAAGATGACAAAAGGTAGGAATAGTTATTTTTGGAGTGTTGTGGAAAAACAGGCATGTTAATATACTATGGGTGAAGCTGTGAATTTATTCTAGGCATTCTGGAAAGTAATTTGGAATAATGCTAAGAAATGTTTATACCCTTAAAAGGTATATATCCTTTGACCTAGAGATCCTACTGTTAGACAAATATTACCATGAGGAAAATTATTTTAAAAAGACATACTTCAAAAAATATTTATAGCAGATCTTTTTATAGTGACCAGTAAATAGAAATAAAGTAAATGCCCATTGTCTGAGAAATGGCTAAAAAAAAGTTGTGAAATATTAATATAACTGAATATTAGTATGGTGTAAGAAATTATGCATGGGATGAATATTAGAGAAACATGATAAGATGTTCAAATGCATGAAAAGTGAAATAAACAGAAGCAGGAAAATAATACACGATGACTGCAACAATTAAAATGGAAAGAATGTTTTTGTTTTGAATGTTTTACTGAAGCCAAATGTTGTGAAATTATAATTACCAAGTTCGATCCCATATAATAGATATGAGAAGGGACCACCCAACTTGGTAAGCAAGGTAGGATGTAGATGTGGAAGGATGCATATAATGTTGGAACTTTTTGATGTATTGGAGTTTTCCCCCTTCTTTTTAAAAATCTTTGTTATGAAGAATGACTCATATCTATTGGGAATCGTAGGAGATTTAAAACCAGCAATATCAAGTTTAAAACCTATAACTATTTTTTTAAAATTTTATTGATATGGAGAAGGGGGAGGTCTGGACCTATAATTTCACCAAAGTAGGAAATTCCTTGGTTTGAAAATTCCCTCCACAGATGAAGATTGCTAACCCATCTCAAACATATTCCTGGAACACTGAAAAATTCACTGACTTATCCAAGGTCACATAGTTAGTATGTGTCATAGGCAGGGAAGGAATGGGGAAAAGAGAAAAAGCTTTTATTAAGCTCCTACTAGGTGCCAGGCGCTGTGCTAAGTGCTTTATAGTCTTCCTAACTCCATGTCAACATTATTTTTTAATATAAAGTACTATTTAAAGCTCTATGTTTTAGGGTAAATACTGGGCTGGGGTTCTAGAGATCTTGGCTAAAACATTGACTCTGTCCCTAACTTGGGTCAAGTATTTTCCCTTCTCAGGGCCTCAGTTTCCTCATATTTAAAACTGGTGGAGGTGGATTACATGTTTTCTAAGTTAGTTTCAAGAATTTCAAATCTCTCACTCAGATCATTTTTAGCTAGTTTTCAAAGTAAAGGTAAGACATTTTCATGCCTGTAGCAGTAATAGAACTATTGGTCAAATAAACAATTCTTTATGACTCCAGGGCTGGAAGTGTCTAGTGTGGAACAATAAAGAGTTAATGTCTGATGGTTAGCTTGGAAAAACATTATTTGGAATATCCCAAATATTCTATTCAATGTCTGGCTCGTGCTTTGTGAATTTGAGGCTTTGAAACAACAACAACAACCCTCAAACGGCACTAAATCGGCATACAATATGCCTCTTTCACATGGTTCATAAAGAGCATTCTCCTTACTGAAATGTAGTGAGGAGATTATAAAGTTTCTCAGGTGCTCAAAGGTCAGTGGGGCTGAGAAATTGGAGTGGATTCTATGGCACAGGGGACTATGCTCTCTGAAATACAGTTGAAAATGATTCAAAGTTGTGTGAGTAGGGAAGTCTAAGGGCTTATGTTGCTGGGTGATAATAAGAAATGCTCCGAGTTAGCTGTTGGCTCCACTGTGAGATGCTCAGATCACCATACGGCAGGTCCTGCTGTCCTTGGCAAGATGACAAGGTCATGCGTTCACATCGATAATCTCTGCCTGAATAATTTCCCTGGGAGTTCTCTGTCCAAACAGGCTTTTGGTTTCCATTTCCACAGCATGCCTCTCCCACCAACAGCTTCTGCCTCCAGCAACTCATGGATTCACAAAGGTAATTCTAAGTCTGGAGAGGGTTGATTATTTAGAACTGCAAGAAATATTCTAACCAGGTGCATCAATGAGGGGAAAAAAATTCTAATCACAACACCTGAATAGTGGATAGTACTTTTTCACTCTAGGAATTTAAAAGGGGTGTGTGTGTGTGTGTGTGTGTGTGTGTGTGTGTGTGTGTGTGTGTGTGTGTGTGTAGATATAGTTTTGTTTGTTCCTAGAGGATACAAAGACAGCTTTAATTTCTGGCTTTTCTCCAAAAGCTCCTCCAAAAAAACCTCATTTGAAAAGTGAACAATTTTTACAATAACAACAGTGAAAAGACAAACTGTGAAAGCTGTAAGAACCCTGATCAACACAGTGACTATCTGTGATTCCAAAAGGCTGATGATGAAGCATGCTGTCCACCTCCCGACAGAGAGGTGATAGATTCAGGGTACAGAATGTGACATTTTTTGAACAAGGCCAATGAAGGAATTTATTTTGCTTGACTAAGTGTATTTGTTATAAGACATTTGTTTTTCTTCTGTTTTTCCAGTGGGGAGTGGGAGGAAAAGAAAATAGATTTCTTTTCATAAAAAACTATATTTTTTAAAGTGACTGTCTTTTTTGACAGTTTGTATTTTTTTTCTAAATTCAACACTAATAACAACAACCACCATGAAATTATATTCAATTGTTTGGCTTAAACTCTAGTTATTATGTACATGTCATATTACCCTAACTAAATTGTAAACTTGAATTCTAGAGCAAATTGTATTGATCCCTCATCATCTCTTTATTGAACTATTACAATAATCTTTTTTTAAATTTTTAACATTAACAATAATTTGTTTTTTAACTTTTTAATTTTTAATAATCTTTAATTCATGCATATAATTGCACTTTAACTTTTACAAAGCACTTTGCATATGTTATCTCATTCAATCCCCACAGCAACCCTATGAAAGAAGTGATGTTATTGTTCCCATTCCACAGTTGAGGAAACGAACAGAGGCTCAGGGCAGTTAAATGACTTGCTTAGGCCCACACAATCAGTTAGTGTCTGAGGCAGGATTTGAACTTCCTTGACTGTCCGTTGTGCCACTTGGTTGCTTCTCCAATAGACTCCTAATTGGTCACCCTGATTGCAGTTTCTCCCTTCTCCAAACAACCCTATGTCCAACTGCTAAAATAATTGGAACATAGTAATAAAAGCTTAACCAATGCCACTCCCCGGTTCAGGAAATCTTCAGAGGCTCACTACTGCTTCTAGTTAAAAACTCCAGCTCCTGAGTTTGGCATTAAAGTTCTTCACTTGAAGGGCTACCACCACTTGACCTTTCCAAACTTATTTCGCATTGCTCTCTTCTGTGCAATGCACTCTCCATGTAGCCAAACTATCCTTCTGGGAAGCCTGCTTTTTGGGAGAGTCATGATGACATATGACAGAAGTATACTGCCGAAGAGCGTGCGTAGATGTTCTGTAACTGGGTCTGGTCTGCTAACAATGTGATGAACAGCAGCATCTTTGATTGGCTGAAGTGGGGGACCAAAAACCAGAATTGGGGACCCTTTCAAAAAGACCTTGATTTGCCTCAACCTTATTGTCTTCAGCTGCTCTCTGTCTTGGCAGGTCTCTGGAGTTTAGACATCTTTGCTGATGGTATCTGGTGAGAAGTCATGCTATGAGTGGAGATGCCTTGGCCTTTCTTCCTTCTGAGGATGACCTGGGGTCCCCTGAGAACATGGTTTGGTCCTTTTGCTTCAGCATTTGTCATTCTGGTTTAGGTAAAAGAGATTAATCTGAAGGTTCCAACCCTGCAAGTTTTAAAATATCAGGAGAGTTGGCCGGAAGGATTCTGGGAATTGGAGTTCATGGCAGGTTTTTTCAACCAGACCAGCACTAATATCCTAAGGAAGAGGAGGTGACCATTGAGAGGGACTTTCAGTGGTCTCTGACTGCCAGTGGTAGCTGAGAAGAGCACTCATCTGGAAATCAATCAGACTTGGTGGGACCAGTAATAGGAACTGAGTGAAGTTAGAGCCCATTCTGCCTGAGAACAAGGTAGGATAGTGGAAAGTTTGCCTATGAGACATTGGTGGGAAAATGTTTGTACTTGCTCTGTTTTCAAAGTAAATATCTCTTTGTAAATGCTCCATAGGCCTCCTATACATTTCAGCAGGAGCTGGGATCCTCTTCTACTTCTGACTCCCAAACTAGACCTAAAACAAAGCCAGAAGCTCGGGCTTTTAGTGGCCTAGGAGCCACTGGGGGCAATTTTCTTCTCCTTCAATAACCAGGCTACCTTTAATACCATCTGATTAAGGTGTTCACACTTCAAAAGGTGATCACCCAATATTTTCCTACTTAGTTTAATATCTTGTCATCAGCCCATTTTCTGTGGTTTGGTCCTTGGCATTCAAGGGCAGGTAAGTGGTGCAGTGGATGGAATGTGGGCCCTGGAGTCAGGAGGATCTAAATTCAAATCCTCCCTCAGACACTTTTTAGCTGTGTGACCATGGGCAAGTCACTTAACCTTGTTTGCCTCAGTTTCCTCATCTGTGAAATGAACTGGAGAGGGAAATGGCAAACCACTCCCATATCTTTGCCAAGAAAACTCCAAATGGGATGACAAAGAGTTGGGAGAGACTGAACAACAACAACATTTCAAGGCCTACTCCCTTCTTTTAGAATCTTTTGTTTCCCTCAAGGCTTTATTCCATTTCCTCTAGTTCTTCTCATACCACCTCCAACAGGAAATCTTTCCTGGTGCTCAAATCATTAGCCTTCTCTTCCCCCTCCAAATTATTCTGTATATACTTACCATATATATTATATCCCCAATAGAATGTAAGTTCCTTGCGGGTAGAAGCTAGTTTGTATTTTTTGTCTTTTATTCCTTGGCTCTTAGCATGGTGCCTTGCACCATTTTTTGTTTGTTTTATTCTGTTTTACAGAATCTCTTATTTTGTTAGTGTCAGAAACTCTTAGGAAAGAACTTCTACCATGTAAGTTATCATTTTCTCTACAATTTATTGTGTTAGAGAGCTTCCTGAGGCACTAAGAGATTAAGTGATTTAGCTATGTTCACACAGTCAGTATGTGTCAGGAGTCAGGATTTGAATGCAGGTCTTCCTGACTAGAACCTTGGCTTTCTTTTTCTTTTTTCTTTTCTTTTCTTTTTTTTTTTTTGGTAGGCAATGGGGTTAACTGACTTGCCCAGGGTCACACAGCTAGTGAGTGTTATGTGTCTGAGGCCAGATTTGAACTCAGGTCCTCCTGAATCCAGGGCTGGTGCTCTATCCACTGTGCCACCTAGCTGCCCCTGAACCCTGGCTTTCTACCAAGCCAACATGCTGCCTGTCCTTGCACAGAGGAGGTGTTTAATAAATGCTTGATGTTACCCATCACCTGTGCCTTATTTAGAATAGTTCTCTACACAAAATGCTTCCCAAATATGTGTTTGAATTTTACAAATGTAAAAACAGAAAAGCATAAGGCACAATGACTTGCCAGAGATGACAAGAAGGCAGGAAGATTTGGATAGCATGACCATCTTAAAATTATCATTTTAAGCTAAAATAATGAGTTCTTCCCCAGTAAATTCATTTCCCCCTTATGTTGTTTTTATCTCCTCTCCATAGCCTTTTAATTTAAATTTAACATTTGACTTTTTCAAAGCTTTGCAACATCTGATACAAACAAGGACAAATTAACCAAACTACATTTGCTTGACACCTGCAGTGTGCCAAAACATTTTGCTGAGAATTTTCAGGATAGAGTGTTATGCGTGGTCATCAGTAAGATGCAAGAAAGGAGTTATAGAAACAGCAAGAGGGGTACTACAAGCCTTTGATTAATCTTTAATCTCATCATTATGGCCCTTTAGAATTCCTAGCTTCCTTCAGAATCTTTATTTGTTGGATAATGGAAACCACAAGCACAGCCCTCATTTGGGAAGATTCCTTTAGGATTAACATTTCTACTGAGTGTTGTACTGTAACCCTTTCTGCTTAAGAGTTTTCATTGAAGTATAGGTAACAGCTAGATGGTGTAATAATGGCTGGAGTGTTGGACTTGGGGTCAGCAAGACCTGGGACATTTGTGAACTTTGAGACTCGGAGCAAGTGATATAACTTTTCTATGCCCAAGTTTCCTCTTTTTAAAAATGGGGATTATAATAGTACTTACCCTTTTCTTGTCCAGTCATTTCAGTCATGTCCAACTCTTTGCAATCCCATTTGTTTTGTTTTGTTTTGTTTTTGGCAAAGATACTGGAGTGGTTTGCCATTTCCTTCTCCAAGTGCTTCCCTTACAGGGGTGATTTGAAAATCAGATGATAACATATATAAAGCACTTTAAATTTATCATTATCATTTTCAGTATTATTATTATTATTCCCGAAGTGCTTATAACCTCTTAGCTTTCCTTTTAAATTTCAACAGATTTGGGCATGGTGGTTGTGGTGGTGGTGTGTGTGTCTGTGTGTTACATTTGTAACTTTTGTGCAAAGCCTTACTATACAAGATTTTCAACCCTCCACACTTCCCTGGACACACACACACACACACACACACACACACACACACACACACACACACAGAGGTAACAATAGCTTTTTCAAAAACATTCTCAGGATAATTATTTTAACCCGTACTAGGTAGGCCAGTGGCCTGAAAAAACAGCTGTCTCCAAAGGTTGCTGAATGCCAAGGCAGAATTTCCCAAAAGACAAACTATGAGCTCAGAATGACAGCCTATATGCTCAATCACCTATACTCCTATTCAGTCAGTGCTCCCAAGTCTTTCAAGGCCAGATTAAAAAACAGCCTTTAAGGATGAATAAAAAGCCTATTTCTGAATGGTTTGTATGAGTACGAACAATCTAACGTACTGAATGTTTATTGCCGCTTATCTTCTATGGAGGCAGGAGATCATCATGAAAATGTATCACAGGTCTAGTAGGAACACCGAAGACAGTTGCATTCTAGCACCCTTCTCCATCACCCCATTACTAGGATGACTGTGCTATATCCTTTAGTAAAGCTCACCTGAATAAATAATTCATGTATTGGGCTTTCCCTTTATGATGGCACTGTAGTCACACTTATTAGATAACTCTCTATTGAAAGAATATTTGCTAGCAAATATTGAGGAATAAGGGCAGATTGTTCTCTAGCTTCTGAAATTAGTTCTCTGAACCAAGGACAATTAGTTTGATGCCACTGTAACTTAACCTCCTTGAATGGGTCCAAGATAGTACTACCTTGTACCAAATTTTATTCTTTAGAAAATATTGTTATAGCGATGTTCTAACACTGTCCATGTGTCCCATGGCCTAGCATAGAGAAAAACTGGATAGATAAGTCAAAAAGTAAGGGTCTTTGGGCTGGAAAGTAATCTTCAAATGACTATTTATAAGATCTACATTTTTAAATGTATTTTTTTTCTAATTCATCCCTCCTTCCTTCAGAGTTGGGTATGAGAGGCCACAAATTATTAATAAATCCTCTGTGAAAGATAAAAAATCCCAAAATGTTCTGCCTCTTCCATGGCCTCTCTGATTTCTTATTGACCAAGACTTTTCCACCCCTAAAAAGAGGCATTGGCCCCCTCATAGTCCAAGTATTTTGGGAAGTGGAAGCTCCATGTATAAAGGTTACCCTCTTGTATTCAAATAGTTATTAAAGGGTGGTATCTGTAAGGCATCTAGGCCCCAGTTTATCTTTGTCTCTCCTACATTCATTGTCAGGTCCCACATAGCTTAAAAAGCTGCTGTGAAGCCTATCTTATACTTTGTCATCATTGGTCTCCTTTTTAAGTATTAAAAGACAGTCTGAACAGTTCCAAAAGACTCATGATGAAAAATGCTATCCACCTCCAGAGGGAGAACTGAAGAACTCTGAGTATAAATTGAAGTATAATTCTCTTCCTTCCTTTATTTATTTATTTATTTATTCATCCGTTCATTTATTTACTTATTTATTTATTCATTCATTCATTCATTTATTTATTTGCTTATTTATTTATTTATTTATTTAATTATTTATTTATTCTTGCTTTGTTAGTGATATGGCTAATATGGAAATAGGTTTTGCATGATGTCACCTGTATAATTTATATAATTTTATTGCCTTCTCAGTGGGTGAGGAAGGAGGAGGGAGGGAGAGAATTTAGAACTCAAAATGTAAAAAGAAAAAAATGTTAAAAATAGATATTATTTAAAAGACAGTTTGGAGGTTGAGGCACAGAGCCAAAATGGTGGAGTAGAGGAAGCACTACAGCCCAGCTCTCCCAACTTTTCCCTCCAAATAACTTTAAAACAGTACCTCATATTGAATTCCAGAGTGGCACAAGGGCAGAGTGAGATATTTTTCTAGTCCAAGGCAACTCAGGTTGTAGTAAGCAGAGGTCTGTAACATTAAGTGGGGCCTAGTCTGGAGCAAACGTGGTGGCAACTCCAGTCAAGAGCCTTGGAGATGGCTGTGACAGAACCTACAGTAGAATAGACAACTGGTCAGAAAAAAGATTACTGTGCCAGCACTGGGTGCAGAATGAGGCACTGTTTGGCAACTCCACTGCCCATACCTACTGCCAGGTCGTACTTCCAGCTAGAGAGGAACACTAGCAATTGTAGTTGCAAAAGGGGAAGAAGCCCTGAGGAACAATAGTGCTTGTAGCTGCAGAGGAGCAGGGTACCCTTCCTGGGTAGGGACCAGAGTGAACACCAGGAGAGCAGTGACCACATCTCTCCCTGGCCTACAGCACCTTGGAAGGATAGGAAACTTACAAACCTAAGAACTAGCTCTAAAAACAGCAGCAAGAAAAAGCCTGAAGCTGGGGACAATACCCCACCCCAAAGTGAGCAGAGGCCAACTTTAACATAAAGTTCATTCAGAGTTGAAGAATTTGGGTTCAAATCTTGGGTCTGACAGACTACTTCTGGGACCTTGGGGAAATCATTTAAACTCTCTGGGCCTCAATGTTCTCATTTGTTCACTGAAGATGTCCTAAATTGAGATCAGTAAACCATGACTTGGAGCCAAATCTGATCGATGCATATTT